ACATGCCCCCTCGTCACCTAACTGTGCCCGCTCGAAGTTCATAGAACATTTTCACGTCACCAATGGTCGCTGCGAGCGACAGTGAATCCACTACGCTTTCCATGATAAGACTAAAGTGACGCGGTAGTTTGCAATTTAGTTCTATCAATTGTCCACCATTTATGACTCAGCGCCGATCTAATCACTTCATTCCAGGCAGGTCAAACAAGGAGCATCATCGCTTCGAAAATGTGACCCCCGTCTTTCTTCGGTACCACTACCTTTCACAATACAACCTACAAACCATCTTATCAGATTTCCTTCGCCGTCAAACATGGCAGATGAACCCTTCAACAATACTTTCCAAGGTCAATGCAGCCCCCGCCATAATTAATGCGAGGGGTGGACCACAGGCCACATCATCCTGATGAGGAGTATAGCGACCATAGCCCCCTCCCCTGGTCATGGGAGCTTTTGGCATAAAAGCTCCAGAGACAAAATGACAGTCACCTCCAAGGACTGTCCTTCCCAAGTGCGAAAAAGTCGGGTTGGTAACTGTACGAGTGTAACACCTTCGCCAGGGGAGATCGCGCGGAAATGAGATTGAAGGCTAGTGTAGAGAGAGCCTTCCCGACGCTATCCTCAAAGTGAAGCGAAATCCTCAGCGCACACGCAGTCAGAGAGGAGAACCTAGGGCGCAGGCATGCAGCGCATTTGGCTATGATTAGACATATCGCTCGTAGTGCGGCAGTACGGGTGGCGTTCAGAACGGATATCACTACACTATAGCCGCGTTCTCGTTCACCCTCGAGTGTAGAAAGTGGCACGCCACTTGGAGCTGCGAAGCTCATTCATCTCGCACATTGCCAGGATCTGTACCTACAGAGAACAGTTCATTGCTTGTCTCAGGTTCAGGCATCAGTGTTGGAGCGTGTTATCCTACAAACCGCAGGCAATGCGCGGAAATACTTCTTCTTTCAAGGTCTGTAACTCCTTTATAAGTAAACGAAGGGGTACGAAGCAGTAGGCTTTAAGTTGTCAGAATGGATCGGTCATCGTCTCCGATTTCAAGAAATACTCTAACATGACGTAAGTCAAGAAAATGAAGCATTTCATGTGAGCTTCCAAGCTACAGATGACGACAGCTTTCTTCATGGGCAATGCCCGGGGGACATAAAAAGGGCGATCATGGGGCTATGCCATTATATCATTGTTTTGCAGCAGTATGATTTCACCGCGCCTGTGCCAACGCGTTTACAGTGCCTGTTGCCATTACCACTGAACTATTTC